TTAACAAAATAAAAACATTATTGTAATACAGACGGAGATTGAAACCTCCAGTTTATTCACTTTCAAGCTCTGAGCTAAGGCAAGTCACATCTTTGAACTCTGAAAATGCATAATACTGTCTGATACACCAATGCTCACTCCTTTTCTGTTCCTTTCTCACATTGCTAATGTGGGGCAATGATTTTCATAAATATATTTTTTGACATGTTAAAAGCAGTCTTCTTGATTTGTTACTTTCTTTGTTAGTTTATGATTTTAAAGTAAATGAAAATACCATTGTTATACCATTTCAGCTCCAGGATGTGAGCAAGTTGAAGCCACTTCAAGATTTGACTTCTCTAATCCTCATTGAAAATCCACTTGTGATCCTTCCTCATTACCTCCAGTTTACCATTTTCCATCTCCGTTCCTTGGAAAGTTTGGAAGGTCAGCCAGTAACCACTCAGGATAGACAAGAGGCTTTCGATAGATTCAGTTTAGGTAAGATGATACGTACAAAGCAAACTGTTATAGTCCAAGAATAGCCACTTAAACCACTCAGACACCGATCTCACTCAGATATTGATGGTTTATTGAATGCACACCCCAAGACTGATCATGATCTGGGACACAGTGTGGACTTAGGAGCCAAAATGTGACACTGGTCTGCTTCTAAGACAGGCTTTTTATAAGAAAAAAGTGCATCCAGGTAACAAAACCACAACCAGGTATAGGAAGCAAGAGGAGGGCAGCGTTACATCATTTTGACTAGCTAGACAAATCATTTCCAACTGACCTTTAATTTCATTGGTCCTTCAGTTAGGGACTTTCCAGAATATCAGAGTATACAAAGTTTGAGAGATGAAATAAGTTTGAGAAACATAACAAGATAAGAGGTTATTCTGACTTTACAAAGTGTCAGCATATTGAAAGGCAGAGCTTGAGAACTTTCACTTCATTTTGTCTTATAACTAAAATGGAGACTGAAGACAAAAATGGTTATGTTATGTCAGAGGAGCAGACTGTAACACAAACAAGCAAAGCAAAAAACACTGAATTTGAATGAGAAAGGAACCCATCTTTAGAAGTTCTTTGTAAGGGTAGGGTCTGGTGAGATGGCTCAGGGGGTAAAGGCATTTGTTGTCAGACCTGAGATCCTGAGTTCAGCTGCCACTTAGTGGAAAGAAAGAACCAACTCCTGCAAGTTGTTTTTTTTACTGTACACAAATGCCATATCAGGTATGCATTCCTACCTTCATCCAATAAATAAACATACTTAATTTTAAAAGGTGCATATTACCACACTTAACATTTTTAAAAAGGATCAATTATAAACCTTATAATTCTACTAAAATTTACATGGAAATGGCACAATCAACTGATTAGTCAAGCAAATATCTGTTGAGCATATGTACCAAAAGTTCCCTGTCTCAGAAATGATCTCCTGAATGTGTGTAAGGTGTGAAAAGAGGAAGAATGTTGAGTAGCCAGTCAAGAACACAGTAAATGACAAGCTAGCAAGATCAGAGTTTCAGATTCCCAGAAAAGATTTCAAGAGGGCAAGTGGTCACCATGGTGATTCGGCTGATACAAAAGAAAGGTGAACACAGAGAAGGCTTTAGAATTTCTTTGGACCAGTGGTGTTACACTCCTTTAATCCCAGTACTCCAGAGGCAGCGGCAGATCTTTTGAGTTCAAGATCTTTGGTGTAAGACAGGCCAGGGCTATACAAAGAAATCTTATCTCAAAAAAATCAGTAAAACAAAACAAAAACAATTCCTTTGGATTGATGTTCTTGCCTAAAGCCGTTTGAGAGAGAGGGGAACTAATGGTGGATTTTACCAGATAGAGCATGGGAGGGGTATGTTTGATCAAGACTTGGAATTCCTACAACAGCTTCACTCTTCTAATACTTAATAATTGTGATTTTAAGTTTAAAGGAAAAGGAAGGACAAAATTAAACATTCACTGATAGTTTCAAGGCCAGGAATGGGAGGAAATGAAGTACATTTAGATTCAAATTTTGTAGTAATAAAATAGCATTGCTAAGATCAGAAGAGAAGAGACAAACCATCCCTCTATTCTTTCAGTTCCTAAAGATGAGGACCAAGAGATTAGATTTTGAGAGAGATCATTGATCATCTTTTGGAAGGAGTAACACTTTCTTCATCAAAAAAGAGAGAAAAATAATAAGTAGATGTTGGTACTTTTGTTGTCTTGATGGTGAGAAAATGTAGGCACTCCCTTAATGAAATACGAAGTTCTTGGCTGAGAGAGAATGGGTGCAGTGTGGGAGGTCTGAAGAGACAGGAAGATGTGAAGTGACCATTTCAGAGAGCCGAGGAATCAGCCTCTACTCAGTCTGGATTTGAAATTGGTGTCAGTCCACTTCCAAACTACAAAAGTGGCCGTTTCACACCAGGGAGAGGGCTGTGAGGAAAGGCGCTTTCTGTGCGAGCTTGATAAGTTGAGTCCCAGCCTGGAACCCACAAAAACGTAGGAGAGAGCCAGCTCTGCAGAATTGTCCTATGACTTCTGTACATACACTATGGGTTCCATGTACATGTGTGTTCATGTGTACACATGCATATATTCACACAAAATGATAATTAGTAAATATCCCCACTGCCTTCCTACCTCTTATAAGTCAGATTCAAATTCACGGTGGTCATGTTTTTCCCAAAACACCTTGGCAGGTGGTTTTCAAAGTAGAAAACAGTGTTACACTGTTCTTAGACTTCTTTTGCTATTGTTCTGACTATACTAGCTGTTTTCCAAGTAGAGACTATAATGATAAATTAGCTATTTCATTTTTATTGACAGAAGAGATAGAAAGACTGGAAAAAGATCTGGAAAAGAAGATGGTGGAAACAGAAGAGCTTAAGAACAAACAAACAAAGTTTCTTGAGGAAATAAAAAATCAAGATAAACTGAACAAGTCATTAAAAGAAGAGGCCAAGTTACAGAAACAGACCTGTGAGGAGCTGGAAGTTGACCTCAACACAAAAAAGGAATTGGTGAGTATACATTGCTTTAGCTGTATTCTGTTATGGTAGAGAACACTTTGCTCTTACATTTAAAAACACAATATCCTGATTTAGCATTGGGAAGATAGGGCTAATAGAAACTTGGACTAATAGGAATAAAGTGTCTATCACTGTATACATAGCAGCTTAGAGCTGCTAATAAAATTAGACCATATGAACACAGAAGGATGCTGGGTACATTTTACTATGAGAAAAATACTTAGTGTTGAAAATAGTGAATCCAGTATGACCCTGTGTGGAAAGATACATGATGGTCCAAAAATGGCAGAAGATTAACAGGAGTTGTTTCTGAGGAGTAAACATCTAGGACATTTCCAAGGTGAAATTTTATATAAATTTTATATAACTTGACTTTATGATTGAAATATGGAGGAAAAACATTAAGTTTAAACAAATAGGAAGCATAATTTGAGAAGGTGATTAACTGAGACGCTTCAGAGGTCTTAAAACTGTTTGGAGAGGGTAGAGGAACCAGTTGTGTAGGCTGGAGGCAACTCAAGTTGCTGGACCACTTGGCAGCTGTCTCACACATGAAGAGTTGGATCTGCAAATTCAGGAGACATGCTCTTATTTAGTAGTAAATATGATGGCTGTCCTAAATTATACTGATACTTAGAATATGCCTGCTATCCTGAAACAAGCAGGCACTAGCTGTGTGCTTGGTGCTTCAAGAAAGGCCTTTTCAACACAGACAATATGATTCTGTAAATTAATACACACATAGATGTTCGGTGTGTGCATATACGGAGGTCAGAGGACAGTTTGCAATTTTCAGTTCTCTCCTTGCACCATATAGTCCACAAGGATCAAACTCAAATCATAGGTTTGAGGGCAAGTGCCTTTAACTACTGAACCATCTTGCCAGCTCCATTTTTTTCCTTCCATTTGTTATACTGTTACATATTTATTTATTTATTTATTTAGGTTTTTGAGACAGAGTTTCTCTGTGTAGCCTTGTGTGTCCTAGACTGGCTTTGTAGATCACACTGGCCTAGACTCACAGTGATACTCCTGCCTCTGCTTTTCCGATTACTGGGATTAAGGTGTGTGCTACCATACCTGGCTTATACTATAGACAAGTGTTTTATAAACTGTCAGCACTTTTGTTCTTTTTTCTGTATTTTTGTTAGAAGATATACTGTGCTCTTCTACATTTGTGTTATTTTTATTGTTAACATTTTAAAACTTTTTATCAATAACTAACATGTACTTATGACAAATTCAGATCACAAAAATATATACACTAAAAATGAAGGCTGTTCTTCTACCTTACCCCCAATATTAATAGGTAGCCTTTTTGTTTTCCATGCTTCAGTAATATATGTATTACTAAATGTTATACATTGGAATATTTCGTGAATATTTTTAAAGGGAACTTTTTATACACATATGTATCTATAGATAAGGTATATGGATAGACAACTGCATTTTAACCAGTTCCTGCAGGTAAATATTTAGGTCACTGTTTTTGCTCCTGGAGGTAGTACCGCAGAGAAAGTATGTGTGTGTGTGTGTGTGCATGTGTGTGTGTCTTACACACGCACACTAGAATTTCTTTACCATCAATCACATTGAGTGGAATTACCATGCAAATTTTTTTTGAAATTCTGATAAATGGGACCAGCAAGATATCTTGGCAGGTAAAGGTACTTTCCACTGAGTGTAAAGAGCTGAGTTCAGTCCCTGGAACTCACATGGTGGAAGAAAACAACAAGCCCCTTTGAGTTGTCCACATAATGTATGCGGAAGCACGTGTGCACACACAACTAAATATATGCAATAAAATTTGATAAATACCAATGTCCAGTTCGAAAAGCTTATCACTAATTTTTGCCTTCTACAGTGGTGAGTAAAAGGGTCAAACTAGGTGAACTTATGGGAGAGAAAAAATTGGAATCTTGTTACAGCTTTAATGTTTTTGTGATTGTTAGAGGAGTGAATGTTATTTATGTATTTGTTGATTATTTGTCTTTTTTTAATATGGAATGCTTCACGAATTTGCGCGCCATCCTTACGCAGGGCTGTGCTAATCTATGTATTGTTCCAAGTTTAGTATGTGTGCTGTGGGAGCGAGCACTGTCTTTTTTAGATTTTAGTGTGTGTGCTGTGGAAGCGAGCACTGTCTTTTTTAAATGACTTGTTTCATTATTTTGTCTCCATTTTGTTATCCCAAAGTACTACTATATATTTAAAAAAGAAGATTTTAGGCCTTATTTTGAAAGCTTATATTTCCCTTTGTCACTTGTAGACTATGTGATGACAATATCACCTCCAGTTACATAATAATTTGTAGTTTTATTAAGTAATTGTTTGTGCATTAAATTAGTTTCTTTATAAAAGAATTAAGTCTTCAGACGGCCATTTAAACTGGTTTACCCCTATCCCCACCATCCGCAAATCCTAACCCAACTTCCTCTATATCATTATTTTTTGTAAGCTATTTAGCTCTTATCTTTCAGTGTTCTTGTTTTTAAAATGGGAATGTTTACTTGTCCTGCCACCTCATGGCCTCGTGAGGATTTAATGATGCTCTGAATGTGAAAATAACTTCAAGTGAAGCAAGCTAAGTAATGCAAGATGGTAAATTTATACTCAGTGATGCCATGTGTTATGACACCAGTACTGATAACTGTTTTATTCGGTCATCAATAGACAGATGCTAGAAACATCAGAACCTAACTCTCTCCAGGGCTCTCTAGGTGACATGTTGGTTTGCCTCTCTCTTCTCTCAGCCTACATCTTTGTTTCTTTCAGGCCTGTTTCTGCTGAGTCTTTATTCTTAAGGTAGTTCCTCCAGGACTGAACTGCACACTGTTTTCTGTAGTGTTGCATGATAACTTCTATTAATATGCTTTACATTTTAAGTTTTGAAACTGGCTTGTCTCTTTGGGAATGCATTTGTGTTTGTGTGATATGTTGTAAATGATTTTGTATGCAGGAGAACAAATTTGAATGTGAGAGGAAGTTAGTATTACTGTTACTGTTTGTAATGTGTTAGCTGCAGTTATCTCTTGATTATCCATAGCCAATACACATAGCCCACTTCCTTTGACTACTGTTTTGCTCTCATTTACGCACTTCTGCCAACAGATATTTGCTGAGGGCTTTTTATTGTCTTAAGTCTAGAGCTATGGAAAACACAGAAGTGCTTTGAAAACTAAGATTATTATATAGAAAGTAGTGCAGGCATGTTCTGTGCTTCTAGTCATATTTGCCTTTGTTTTGTCCCTGTTGTCAGTTTGCTTTGGGGGAAAACGCTGAACATAAGTTGATGCTGTTGATGGTGAAGTATATCTTTGAGACTCGGTCCTCTTGTCCATTCCCTGGAAACATCAATGTGGGCAATGTGCTAGACAGCAAGAGGACATTGAAGGCAACATGGGACATTAGGGAGTGTTAGACTTGAACCCACTGGCCTTTCAGGCAGCTGCTCAGTTGGGCAAGTCGCTTACCCTCTCTGAGCAGCTTTGTGGAGGTGTGTGAAGCCTGGGTGAGACAGCTCATGGGACATACTCAGCGTCTGCCTCTCAGAGAGTGTGGCTCAGTGCTAGCTACCCCATGTGATGGGTACTCAGGAGGGACTGCAAGCTAACTCATGCATGATTTTAATTTCCTGGCCTTGTAAAATATTCATGTGTTTGCTTTCTTTTCAACTTACATTTTGATATTCATGAAATATTTTTGCATGCTTTTCTGTCTGAACTCAACTCTCAGATTGCCAAAAAAGGGGATGGGAGAGATAAAAGAAAAAGTCAGAAATCACTTCATGGCCCTTTGAAATGAACTCAGAGGATCCCATTTGGTAGCCAGGACACCTGTGGCAAGGCAGTTCACCACTCGGAGATTCAACTTCTGCATTTGCAAATTCAGAAATTAGATTAGATTATCCTTACATTTCCCAAAAATCTGTAGTTAAAGTTACTGTAGTATTAAAACTTACTAATACCACATATGTGCATCTGATGGCGTGCGTATACATGTCTTACCTCTCTGCTACAAGGAGTAAGGTTCTGGCCAGAGAGGGAGACAGAGATAGGAAGATCACACACTGCCCGCGTGGGCTGCAGACAGATCCCTGTCAGACAGTGAGGTCCCCGCACCCCCGTCCTCCCACACACAAACTACTAACACTCACATCTAAGGTTCATCCACTAAAGCCAGTCTTTCTCTTCTGGAAATGTCTCACCACGACACTAAAATCAGAGTGCTATTAATTGGGAAACCAGGAAGCAGGTATACAAAATGGCTGATATTTATTTTCATATTTAGATGATAAATTGCTTTCTAAAACCTGACACACTATATCCTGAATTGGCAAATATTCAAAGTTCTTTTATGTGATCTTTTCTGAAATGGTAATTCTGTGTTTCATTTTTTGTAATACAGGCTTGAGATAAAATATTCTTGGTGTTGTGCTATTTGGTGTAGTTATAGTGAGAACTACTCATATTATTATAGGATTATGCTAACTCATTGATACTTATTCGTCTCATATTGGCCAATAGCTAAAACAAAAAACAATGGAATTAACGCGAGCATGTCAGAAGCAGTATGAGCTGGAGCAGGAACTGGCCTTTTATAAAATTGATGCTAAGTTTGAGCCACTAAATTATTATCCATCAGAGGTAAGTTTATATTTTTTTAGTAATCTAATATTAAAGCCAGGATTGGGGGAGGTAGGAGGAAGACAGGTGACAGGAACATTAAAGGGATTTTACCATTAATCACTGTTTTCTTTTTAAATATATATTTGCATTTGTATGTTTAGGGGTGGGCATGCATGTGGAGGTTAGACAATTTTCAGAAGTCAGTTTCTTGCTTCCACTGTGTAGTTGCCAGAGATTGAACTCAGGTTGTCAATCCTGGCAGCAGGTGCCTTAGCCACAAGTACATTTACCTGCTAAGCCATCTCACTAGTCCACTCTACTTTCTTGATGTAAGGATATCTTCAAAGTAAACTGTATTTTGGTTGTGTGTGTGGTTGGCTAATGGAATTAAAACAGTGTTCTGAAGAGATAAAAAGCTCCAAGGAGATCCTTGCTTGCAGCCACTTCTGCAATAAAAAGAGGCCATCTCAACCATCTGTTGTCTTACTCTTGGTGCAGATAGAGGAAAGGCAGACTTTCAGCAGGAGTGCTTAAGCACTTCTAAGTGGGAGCCTCTAGCCTTCACTGCTCTCCAGTGTCAGTAACACTCAGCCACTATTAGTAACAACACCACAGAAAGCTGCCCGAGGAGCTGCCCAAGGGCCAAGTGATTTCAACAGTGTCATGTGTGGTTTAGTTTTCAAAACTTTAAGATTAAAATTTAGTAGATTGAGATCTGACTTACCTCAGGAGCAACATAATCCACCCATGCTTCTGATCCAAAGATTAAGTGATATTAAGCAATCATCTAGCTATGGGTAGTCTCTAGCCAGTTATTCCAAACTTTATTTGTTAGTAGAGGGAAGAATTCTTTTGAGACCACTTTTAGTTGTAATTCTTTTTTGCTATATGAAAAAAGATTTAAGAATAGCATTATATCTCTTAGCTTCTAGACATGTAAGATTACTATAAATATAAATATTTCTGTGATAGGTTTGCCACTAATAAGATGAATAATGTCATTTGACTGAAAGTTGCTTCTTAATAAATCTATTAATATGCTTGCTTTTAGTGTCCTGAAATTGACAAATCCCCAGATGAAAGCCCTTACATTGGCAAATCCAGATACAAGAGAAATATGTTTGCCACCGAGACTTACATTGTCAGCGATGCCCAGGCAGTTCAGATCACGATGATGCCAGAAGGAGGACAGCGTAGACATGAGGACACTACCCTGAGAGCCCTTGTACCACCAGATGTGCAATTGGAAGACACAGAAAAAAAAATAAGTGCAGGTTAAACAAGTTATTCTCAAGTTTTTAGAAATCTACAACTTTGGATATGGCTCCATGGTGGAACATTTGCCTAGCATGTGCAAAGCTCTTGGTTTAGTGTCTAGCACTACAAAAAAAATGCATGCATTCATACATGGGTACATACATACATAAAACAACTAGATATGCTGGTGATTTTATTTTATAATTTTTAGTTAAACACATTAATGGTACTTATTTTACATGAAAAGTCTAACGTCTAAGTTGTGACTAATGAGCCTGCTTTTTAAATAATTCCTGTTGTGTGTGATAGAGAATTGGGTGTCTGACAGTAATTGGCAGCATCATGTTCAGGGAATCAGTCTAATAAGAGTATGTCAATATCATCCTGCCAACAGGCACTGAAACTACTCATTGAGATGTACAGTTAATAATCATTGAAGCAAGCAAAGAACCATTTTCATTATTATTATCCATGATGACAAAAACGTTCCGTTAAGCTGGGGTAGAGCACTATCCTCAGGCTGAGATCTGAGGCTCGCCCCTGACTCTTCCTGACATGCTCTGTAGTCTGTTTGCTCTACTACAGTGTGCTACCCCAGTCTACCCCAGGGGATCTTACCACCCCTGTCAAGTCACATACAGGAAGAAGTTAAGCCAAGAGGCACTTAAGATACTCTGCCAGTGTTCTGAATCCACTCACTCACTGGCTGTGTGGATGTAGAAGAAAAGGAGCTCTTGACTGGAGTCTGCACCTTGCTAGTCCTCAGTACTCATGGTCCTGTGGGGAACTTGCTGATGAGATTATTAGCATGTTATATGTATTTTATGGAAAGCTTGGCGGGGGGTACAGAAGTAAAGGAGATATATGTGCAGACTGGCATTTGGAGGATCTTGTGAGAAGATGAAGTGTGAGCAAGAGAAAGGGCAAAATGAAATCTGTGGTAGACACACTGATTTGAGGTCTCCTCTGGAGGAGAGTTTATGTTTGTCTTTTTTTAATTTCTGTTACTTCCCTTTTCTTTATTTTGCTTTCCTTCCTTTTTCTTTCTCAGTGCTGGGAAACAAGTCTTTCTACAAGTCCAGCTCTATAGCAAACCACTTTTGTTTCAGTTTTGGGTTTTTGTTTTGTTTGTTTTTCCTGAGACAGAGTCTCTCTACACCCTTGGCTGTTTTGGAACTCAATAGGCTAGTCTCACACTCTAGGATCTGCCTGC